CTTGCAATAAAAGTATTATGTTGTGGACAAAAGTACGAGCACAAGTTATTGATAATGACGTGTTCCTGTAGAGGTTGTGTACTCTCTTTTGCCTTTGTGTAAACATTCACTTTTGGCTCCAGCATGCTTTTTTATTCTGAAAACAACACAGGCACCTTGGTCTCTCGCAGTTATTATATCACAGTAGAAATAAAAGACTCCAGAAATTGTTAAAAGGTAATTGTTTCAGAGTTACCATGGGATACATGATGAAGCTATGATTTATGAGCAAGCAAAGCATGACGTAAACGAAGTGAGTGGAAATTATTGTACTGCAAATTCACATCATCACAGAAGTTTTTGGTACAAAATTAAGAGGTTGTCTCAAACATAGTACATGGATAAGTAGCGCCGTTACCAAGAAAAAGGCACACATTTTTTATTTATGGAGCTGATTCCATATTAGGACTGCAACAAGCGCTCCAGCAGAGGGCGCTCATGTTAGACACTAAATACCAGTCCAGTGTAGGCCTAAAGTTAAGTGAGAAAGAATCGCAGTCATTCACACAAAATAAAATATTACTGGTAAATACTGTCAAATAATACTCAGGCACACTGCATTTAACAATTAAATAAAAACTGGATTCCCTATCTCGTAATTAGGCTATTAGTTTCTCACTTTTAATTACAGGAAAATATTTCCTTATTCTGATATCCTTTCTCGTAATTACGAAGAAAGGGATCCAATTTTTATTTTCTTTGTTGAATGCAATGTGCTTCCGTAAAAACTATGACAAATAATGGCTGTTTGTGGCAAGTGGAATCACTATTCCCAAAATATAATGACTTGCTCCTACTATTTAAAAATAATCAGTTTGTGGGACATCCGGGGCTCCGCAGAAATCTTTCCTCGGTCCCTGCCTGTTTACTGAACTGTTTGGTCGTGTTGATTTCACATTAATCCCGATAGTCGGATGTTGTCATGGAATTCAGTTTTCATGAGCTGTGAAATCCCACTCGTGCAATAAATAACTATTTCATAGATTTTTAGCCAGACGTTGACTATCTGGACTTGAATTTTAGTATAAAAAAAAAAAAAGCCACTGCAGTTTGAACTAGACAATTTACATTTACCTGCGGAAAATGCGTGGGCATGCTGACCGCTGAAATGTTTTGCAAAACACTGCTGAATGAAGAAGAATCAGCAGAAACAGCTGAAGGATTAGTAGATGAAGAAAAAGTAGAATATGTAGAAGATTAGTAGTAGAAGAAAAAGTAGTAGAAGCAGAAGAACAAGAAGTAGAAGAAGTAAAAGGAGTAGTAGAAGAAGAAATATTAGCAGAAGATGAAGAAACAGTAGTAGAAGTGGTAGAACAAGTACAAGATACTGCATAAAGACTGCTTAAATGCAGTCAGACAATGAGAAAAAGGTGAAAACGTCTCCCTATTGGGTGCTCATTTCAAGGGCTTAAATTAAGAGTTGGTGGCTAAATGGTGATTTTGTGAGCAAGAGGACAAATGGCCGAACGCGTTGATGTGATTTTCATGTCTGGGATCCAAGAAATGTGGAAACCACAGCGATCTAAAAAGTTAGTCCCAAGAGGTTTGGTCAAGTGAAGTCAGGCTGAAGTTTACCATTACCCCAGATGGAGATTTATCTGGACCACCTGCTGCTTTGAAGCTCACAGTGTAAAACCTTTGCTCCGTTTGTCCTGAAAACTCAATGTGTGAGAGAGGACAAGTTTTCCTACATTTGCATAACAAAGATTTGGATAATTAATCACCTAATTCATCTTTTTGTAGCCTAGGCCAGGCCTTTGGCAATATGAGTGATGAAAGCACCCTCGTTCATTGGGCGCCCTCACAGAGAAACATGTCACAGTGGCGCCATCTATGGGAAAAGTAGTGAAATATGCTACAGCCTTTTTTTGTGTGTGAGATTTTCAGCGAAAGAAGAAGAAAAAAAAACAATAAGTCCAACAGCATTGGCTATATTTATATATTTACATAACAGACAGATCCACACTTTCTACATTTTCCAATCACAACATAATCCAGCCTTTATTATTATATTAATGAGTAGGATATTCTCTTTGCCCAGTTTGCTTTGAATGAAGTCTTTGACGATCAGGTAATCGAGCACCCTGTGGTGTTCAGCGGGATTCAAAAGACTTCGAAGACATGGTGTGGAAATATCGCCATGGCGTCTCAGAAATAAACAAACACAAGAAAACAAATGCTAATGTTTTAAAAAGACACACATCAGCACAGGCACTAGTGACTTTGAGGGAGGAAGGACCACTGTTTTCAAACTCCTCTACCGACTTCTGGGCTATCTTCCTCCAGCACAGGTAACCCTTAAGTCCTTAAACTTAAGACCCCATTGGAACATAAGTTAATTATTTAAGGGATGATTTTTTGTTTATATGTCGTAGCCTTGATATTTTTCTCCAACTATAAAAACATATTCATATGGTAGACTGTGATTTACGTTGAAATTCGACTTTATTCTGTTTAGAGAGTATGCTTACTTTTAACTCCATACCAATGTGAGGTCTGCCTAGCCTGAGTCTGTTGAGATGTTTGGGACAAATGCCCCCTGGTTACCATCTGATAACGCAGCCAGTCATTTCTCTATAGGCCTACATTTACATTTTTCTTACTTTATTATGCCAACAATGTATTTAATTGAAGGAAAACTTCAATTACTACGGTTGTGAGGTTAAATATAATCTCTTATCTCTTTGGTTGGTTCTCCCATGAGAGTTTGGCCCGTTATAAATACAAAAGGTAAAAAAACTCATCAAAGAAAAGTTTGGAAACGTTATTTCGGTCAATTATTTGGCCCCTTTAATAATACTAATTGGTGTTGTATTTCATATCGTTGGAAAGCCTGATTAGTCACACACACGCACACACACACACACGCACACATACACACACGCACACGCACGCACACACGCACGCAAGCGAAGAAAGAAACAGCAGCAGGTGCTTACGTCATTTCCTCCACGTGGTTCAGGTCTAAACTCCCGCCCGGAACAGTCGTTTGTCAACACGGTTGAGCTCTATAGACCGGTGTTTTTGTCTGTGTCATTGTGTCCTTATTGTATTCTTTCAGCAGAATGGCAGAAAACACAGATGTTGACGCAGACAGTGACGACATTTTTGTCAACGAAGAGGAGCTGGAGAAGGCTTTGTGCGTGCTTGCTGGAAGCGACCCAGACAACTGCTCTTATTCCCGGGTAAGAAATACTTCCTGCACCGCCTCTCTGCAGCCATTGTCCTTCTACTCTTCGCTACATTTAAAATAGTAAACAGGGAAAAGGAATAATGAAGTGCTCTAGCCTTATATCAAAGGCGCGTCGTCACTTATGTGTGTTAACCTGCTGTGTTTATTGTTCCAGGGCTATGTGAAGAGACAGGCTGTGTTTGCCTGTAACACCTGCACTCCCAGTGCTGCAGAGCCTGCAGGAGTCTGTCTGGCCTGTACCAACAAATGCCACGATGGACACGATATCGTTGAACTGTACACAAAAAGGTAGGTTATTGGTATGTTGTGATCATGTTAAACTGTTTAGTAAAATGTATTTCAACACTTTGGAAGTAACTCGCCCACCATCTCATCTTTGTGATTCAGAAATTTTCGTTGTGATTGTGGAAATAGCAAATTTGGAGAATTCCAGTGTCAACTAATTCCTGTGAGTCCACCAGTTTTAAGTTAAAACTACTTCTAAAAAAAAAAAAATCTATGCCTCCCCAATTGTAATCTTCTTTTTTATTTTTTCTTTCGCAGACCAAAGACGTGCAAAACGTAAGGAATCATTACAACCACAACTTTAATGACCGGTACTGCACGTGTGACCGGCCCTATCCAGACACAGACGATCAGGTTTTCCTTCATTTTAAATCTCTAATCTCATGTTATCCAAAAAATGTTGACAAAAACTACTACATCAAAACTACTACATCATGTCACTACATTGAAATTCTTTTTTAAATTCCCCTGATAGGAAAACGACGAGATGATTCAGTGTGTCGTATGTGAGGACTGGTTTCATACCAGGGTAAGCAGAAGTCATCTCATCACTTCTTTTATTCTAATTTTTAAAAAGTCCTCCTCTCATTTTGCAGTAATTGCATTTGTCGTTGACAGCACCTGGGCTGCACTGTAGTGGACCCGGAGGAGCTGCAGGAGATGGTGTGTGAGGCCTGCATGAATAAGGCTCCTTTCTTGTGGACGTATGCTGCTCACTTTGCAGGTAACCAATAATCCTGACGTACTTCTCAAGGCAAACCTGTGTTTTTCACTTTGCAAACATCTAACAGACAAATCCAGAAGGTAAATATTTATTTCTCCTTTGTCTTTGTCCTTCAGCTCCTCCTGTAGTCACTATCGATCATCCTAAGGAGGAGGTGGAAGTCGATGTCGAGGGAGGAGAAGAAAAGGAGGAAGAGATTGTGTCCAGACAAAGTGTGGAGGACGAACCGTCCACTAGTGCTCGGCACACACGGCAGGAGGTGAGAAACGGTCACAGAGGACCTCTGCTTCTGTTTCAAGGTTTGCATGGAGAGTTTGCCTTTTGAGTTAAAATAGATACAGAGGGGTTAACAAATCTGTACTGATGCTATGTTTATGACTCAGGAGTGCTCTGGTCATCATAAAACATAGGGCAGTTGTCTGACAGGAGAGTTAAAAAGTCTATTATAGTGTTATTAAGTACTATGCTTTGGCAATATTAGATCAGATATCATAGATCAGCAGCAAGTCAACTACATGTAGACATGCTTTTTTTCCTGGCCCCAATTTCAGCAATTATGTTGAGAAACAAGTCAGGTACTTATAACGACGATAACTCTTATACATAATGTTGCATTATGATACTAAACTAGCCGAACACAGAAAGAAGTGTAGAGAAATGGCAGAAGTATACATAATGGGCTCCTTGTTTCTCTTCCATTCATATTTTTCCTTAAACCGTGTTCATGGTTAATTTAGAAAAACAAATCATGTCACAGGTTGGAATATAAGACTAGCATCCCTAACCTAGAATCTTGAAATTATCTTTTTTTTTTAATGGATTCTAACAGTAGTAATTCCTTTAGAACTGTGTTGCTTTTATATGTAAACTGTATATAATATAACTTGCCTTGCTTTGTAACTCTGGCCTGTTCCACAGAATTTTAGTTTTTCAGTTCAGCTGTTTTGTTTTTTTTGCTGCCACAAGATGGAGCTAGAGTGCAATAAGCAGCTGTAGAGCAGGCTCTGGCTCTGGTTAACTTGCATTGCCCCTCTTCTGGGTAATTAGTGGAGAAATGACCTGTGAGCCACTGCTTCCCCTGCTCTGCAGACAGCTTTGGCCAGGCTTCACAGGACAGCTTACTGTAAACTGGTGATTTTCATCGCCCAATCTTCCCATCATGTCAGCTGCCTCTAGGCCTCCCCAGATGAGTCTGCAGTACTCTTTGTGGAGATATTTGATTAAGTCCTAAGTCTAGGTATTATCATCACCTTGTTTTCTGGTTTTGTTTCTTTAGGATGCCTCAAATAGGATGTCCCCTTGCAAACGGACCCATGAGGAAATGACAAACAACCCTGCTACGACCCAGACGGTAACCTGCAAGCTGAAGGAGCTGCAGGGCCAGGGGCTGGAACGGGCGAAACAGGGAGGGGTGTTCTGGCCTTATAGTTGGCGCTCAAAACTCTGCACCTGCACAGACTGCAAGGTAGACCACGAGTCCTTTCTCTCAGATTATATTATCAGCTTTGGTAAAGGCAAATATCCAGCAGGTGTTGGCTATACAGGTGATTCTGGTTCATGTGAAATGTCTGCAGTATTAAGACTTTTGTTCAAAAATAGATGTATCATATTTGTGTTGCAGAGGGCGTATGTGGCTGCAGATGTGCCGTTTCTGATGGATCAGTCTGATACCATTCTGGCCTACGAGAACAGGGGCCTAGAAAAGCCATTTGGGCAGCACCCGCTGATGGCACTGACAAACTGGATGAACCGTTCGCAGCAGCTAGAGGTCATTTACGGTGAGCAGTGGGAGGATGTGTGCTGTTAAATCACATTTACGGGACAGTTGATTGATGGAGACTAATTAATAATGTGTCCTTTCCTCAGGTTTCAACGAATTGACAACTTCGATCACGGCATTTTTAGATCAGTGTGTTGCTGAAGGGAAGGTGAGAAATGGACGATTAATTACAAGCATAATCTGCAATGTAGGGATAAATACAAGACCAGGTATTTACTTATTTACCTTAATGCTATGATGGTTTAACTTTACATGACAAATGTTCAATTTTGTCCTTAAAACACATTTGTTGGACTTGTGTGCGTTTGTTTTCTCCAAACCTCAAATCTGAACCATTCCTTCTCTTTCTCCATCAGACAGTCACAGTGGAAGCTGTGCAGGAGTTCTTTGAGGAGCTGCGTGCTAGAAAAAGACGCAGAACCAACACAGGATACCAGTAACAAGTGGTCTTGAAAGATGACCCTTTTAGTAGCTGAATAAAAATGGTTTCCTTTTGCAAACAATGTGATTCTAATGCTTGAAAAGTTGTTACAACTACTACTGACCTGCAGTTATTGTTGTGTAGCGTTACTTCTAGGGTGGAGGACTGTGACCACATGATCATAAATATCGATTACAATGAGGCCTTTACTTTAAAGCTTATAGTTTTAAAGGTGTTACTTGAAACATAAATGGAAAAAAAATAATTCTGGGTGCAGCACTTTATTCTTTAACAACTGTTATTGCCTTGCTATGATGTGGTGCCTGTGGTTCTCTTAAACATGATCATTCTTTGTAAACATGTCCAGTGTGTCTTTTTGACTGAGCTACACATTGATGTTTCATTGTTCAGAGGTTTTTGTGGCAATGGCTGGTTTAGAAATGTGCTTGTAAAAATGATGTGAAGAAACGTCAGTTTTTATGTGGATTCAAATGTCAAAATAAAGATCTCATTTTTCTAGTGCAGAAAAACAAACTCAAGTGAGATCAACATAATTCCATAATATCAAAGCAGTTTATTTTGAGGATGCCCAAGTTGACCACTGTTATGCACCTTTTGAGGCGACAGTAGAAAAATAGATTCAGTGAAACTAAATGCAACTTAATATCAATCTACAAACAAGTTTTCTATAATATACAAGTACAATGTACCTGTTGAAATTCAACACAATCACACATTTCAGATGGTTCAGTTTCAAAAGGTGCTAAATAACACTATGTACACAAAAGGGGGCTACATAAGATGTCAAAGAAGTTTTTGATGCAGGCTGGTAAGCTGGTAGAAAAGAGCTTGCATAGACATCAAAGTCATTTCTCCAATAAAGCCCAGCCGCAGGCGGGGGAAGGCACTGACTTCTCTACTGCAAAGAGCAAAACAAGGGCTTTTATTCAATGGAACAGTGTCCTGGAAAATATAACAACTAACCAACATGAACATGGGGAGGAATCTTGAGTTTTGCATTTTTTCCCCATGAAGCAACCTAAATGGAAAAATGATTTTTCTGTTTGGCAACTTCATCACTGCTAGGATGAGAGCTTATGTCTTCAGATCTTCTACATATTCCTGCTACTCAAAAGGAAGAGAGAGGGGAAAACATCTCGACAAACATGGTACTCAACACCACCTACAACATTGAACAGACTGCCCTAATTAATATCACTTAGAAACAAAATAGATTCTGAGACACAATCGTTTTATACCACACATTCTTAGTGCGACCTCATGACAAAGACAAGTACACAGTGTTGTCCACTACAGTTTAAACACAAACCTTCAACATCCACTAAATGTGATAAGAAACCATTAAAAAATTAATGTGGAACTCAATTCATTATATACAATTTCCAATGGAAAAATGAGCCAGTTATCGCCAACTTTTTCTTCAATTAAAAAAATCCGTTTGGTTCGAAATTCATGTTCCTTTTTCCCTTCAGCTTGTAGACCGGTGGCTCTTGCAGTGCAATGATACTCGTGTGTGAGGTTGTGTGCCAACTGTAACAGTAACAGACTTTTTATGTGTACTCTGAAGCTACAGCTGATGCAGTTCTTAACAGTATATTGAACAGTATCAACACTGGATGTGCCTCTCCAGTCTTCCATTGGGTGCAGAGATGTGTGCTCGCATGGTTTCGGCATCTAACATCCACCTCTATCACCCAGAAAAACTGCATGGAAAGAGTCCATCGAGAGCAGAACAGTCAAGCGATTAAGAGGGGTTGCGATATAATGACATCATACTTAATTGAATAAAAGGTAGCTAGAACTGATTATTACAAGCGCTGATTAAGGCTTTAGATTATTTGATGCTACTGGATTAAACAGAAAAAGGAGCTTGAGCACACTGACTGCTGCACTCTGTGCCAAAGACTCACTGATATGTACAAACAGACCTGACTAAAGATGAGAGTGTACAGTACTGAGATTGTCTAAACACCTGTGAAGTTATCCTTGCAAACAGACACACGCACACTCACACACCTGTTCCAGCTGAAAAAAAACAACAATCACCTAGCACTTGATCACTGCGTGTCAGTTGCCATGGCACCCTTACATTTTCCACTGTATTGCAGTAATAAACTTGCATGTGATGGTCCTGTTTCCCCCTTTTTTATCTGAAAAAGACAGACTCCTGCCTCTAAGCTAGATTCTCAGAGGCTGTGATGGTTAAAGCCTGACACAATAATCAGACTTGGTAACAGGAGAATGACGAGCACTGATGACCTACTTCCCGTCAGATCCGATTGCTGCTTTGTGTGACCAGACTTGGCCCATTACTCATCAGCACTGCAGATCCACAGCCAAACGAGGGAAACCAAAATGAGTTGCTTGCTATAGACATGCTACAGGAAGAAACTGAAATGTAAATTAACATCCGTTTTTAACACAACTCTCTTGTTTTGCAGACTAGGTGCCATTGTTGGCTTGTGTAAATTGTGATTCCTAACCTGTCATCTCCCCATTCTATGCTAAAAACAATAAAGAGACAGCAGAACCTGTGAATGAAGTCTTTGTTAATAACTGAGCTACATTAAGTGTTGTGACCTCTGCATGCAGGATCCACACATCATGGTGCTAACCCTGCTCTTTACAATCAAACCCAGAAAAGCCCGAGTCCTCCTCTGAACCAGCATGACAATGTAGGCCTTGCAGAGATCAATTACAGGCATCAACAATTAACCTACATCTCTCACTCTTTCCTCACCCTGACTGTGTGATGGATAGCACAGTGTGATAGAGGTAGGACAAAAGGACAGAACCTATAAATAGCATCCATCGACCACCCTGTTCCCTGCAGCTCTCAAACACACATACACGCAGGCACACATTTAGTGCTTTTCCATCCACTCTGATGGCAGCCACTCGTCACACTTTCCCTTTTCTTAACTCAACCCCTTGTCCTTGTCTGGGGTTAAAGTGCAGATTTTTTATAAGGGTAGTCAGGCTTGCTGGGTGACCTGCGGTCTCTAGTGATCTCCTCACTGACACTGTTCCTGTGAGGCTGCTGAAGGCCTGATGATTCTCCAGATAGAACCATGTCCTCTGGGGCATCTCTAGATCCTGTGTGCCTCTCTTCATAGCTGTCCATGTTCCCGCTGGGAGACCGTAAGTGGCCTAAACCATGAGTAAGGTCTGTCTCATTTGATCGCCCCCTAGGGATGAGTCCCATCCGAGGCTGGGCTCCAGAAGGGCTAGAAAGGACTCCGTCATGCCTCTGAGAGGTCATACTGAGGACGTCCAGACGTAGTGGGTCTGTAGCAGTCCTCCCCTGTGGGTGTCCCTGGGACTGAGAGTCAGACATGTATGGGGGTGGGTAAGCGCTGGAGGGGGTGCAGCTGTGGCTATAGAGGTCTGGTCCTGCATAAGAGGGCAGAGGGTGAGAGGACGTTGGGGTTGCAGGGCGGCAGGAGAAGTCATACAGGTCAGGGAACTCGGCCTGAGCCTCCAGTTTGGGTTCAGGCGCGTGTCTCTTGCAGGAGTGGCCGTGTCCGGGACCGTGGCCATGGCTGAGGCGGGCAGAAGGGCAGGGGCCGTGGGGCAGATGGTGGCCTGAGGGGCCCATTGGGCTAAGAGGGCTGTCCCTTTCCATCTCCGCCATGTGCTGCTCCCTCAGGGACATGACAGAGACACCCAGTGCAATATCAGGCATGAACTCCCTTATAACAGGCTCCATGGTCATCTGCAATACAAAACAGTTGAATAAGTGTGAGGTTACTATGTAAATCAGCTTCTCATGATCCCAGCCACAAACCATGCAGCCACATCAGAATAAAAAAAAAAAAAAGAATCACAAGGAAGTAACATACACTCACCGCTTGCCTGTCTGAAAGCAAAGCTCGGCCCATAGGCTGGGGGTTGGTGCAGTCGGGGGGCTGAGGCCGGGGCACAGAGGAGTAGTCTGAACTGCCATGCTTGGACGCATGGCGCTGGATCAGAGTGCGGTTGCAAGGGTAGGAGAAGGATCGGGTGGGGGTGGGCATGGGCACGCGAGGTCGCCATGCACCCTTGAGCTGAGCGTGGCTTGGTGTGGCAGGGGGATGGTAGGGGGGTGGTGGAGGAGGGAGGGGAGGGTGGAAGCCTGCTACTCCTTCCAGCTCTGAGAACATGCTATCCATTGCTGGGCTGCTATTAACCCGACACCGACCCACCTGGCGCAATGCCAAAATCGGACTCTCATCTCCAAAACGTTCATCAGGAAAAAACTTGTATGGGTTCTGTAAAAAGAAAATAGGAGCTAAAGAAATGTATGTTCATTGTAGTATTTACAGAGCAACAACTATTTTAAGGTAATTCATAAGATTTATCCGGGTTTGCTGCATAACTGAGGTCTCAACCTTCCTGTTAGAATCCCAGCCTTAGTCATCCTAGTCATTCCTGCTCTAACCTCGGGGACAAACTCTGCTTTCTACTAACCTGCAGAAGTTCTGTGGCTCCGTCTGCCAGACCAAACTCCCTCAGCACCCGCAGCTGCAACTCATAGCTGACCGTTGCTCCTTCCCCACAGTTCAGGGCGTAAGCTCTCTGGACCTGCTCTGAGTGTCTTAGCTCCTGCAGCCTGCGAATCATCTCTTTTACCACCGGCAGCTGAGGCACTGTATGTACAAGATGAAGACAATTCATTGTCTAAAAAAAAAAAAAAAAGTATTCTCCCAAATGGAGTGACCAAACAGTTGGTCATTTGTCAAAAGTTTTCTTACCTGGAATTTCATTTGCCACCACCGATGGAGCAGTGTTTGCAGTGCTTGCCATTTGCTGGTGGCTGATCATGTGACAGCACTGGGGCACAGCGTTATTCACCATGTAGAGCGTGTCTGGGACATTGGACATGCGCACTAATCTCAAACGCACCAGGTCTGTCTGCTCCACCATCATTTCGTCAAGCACAGACTAAACATAGGTAGAGGAGAGAGGGAATATTAGACCAGAACTTCCAATTAAAAAAAAACTTCTATGTGCAACTCAAACACTGAAAGGATGTGCAAATTAGTACCACTTGATTGACACTTCATCTCATAATGATTCTCTCCGGTCTGGGGATGTATTCATAAATATTCATGGCCCCCGAAGAGGCCTGTAATTTATTAGGAAAAGTGTGCAAATGGATAAAAATTGAATTTCAGTCAAGATGATGGAAGTAACTATTAAAAATTGCGAGTGTGCCTCAACATCTATGCATGGATATTTTTTGTCATGGCTCAACGATGAACTTGCCCACAAATTTTACACAAGGCTCTGAAAGGTTAGCCTGACCTCTTCAACTTCAACAGCTTCTTTCTTTGTTGTAGACTCCATCAATCAAAAGTGTTTGAGCCTTACCTTAGCCTCCTCCACATAAGGAGAGAAGAGGCGCGGACGCACGTAGATGCCAGCGTTCTTCTGCCGTAACCAGGCATTAGCTTTTCCTCCCTCAGCTGTGGGCAGCATGTCTGAAGGAGGGGTGCTTATTAAACCCCTCTTTAACTGTGGGAAAAGGTAAAGAATGGTGATCAATACTCAGTTTTAAAGATCACACCAGGGGAACACTCATGCAGACACATTAACAGGAAAAAGAATACTGACCGCGTCAGATAGGACGTCGCTGTTTGGAGGTAAGATGTGCTCAGTTCGGATAAAGGGGAGGAGGGGAGACAAGATCTCCTTTAATTCTTCCACATCCAGGTCTCTCCTCTTCACTCCCCTCTTGTTTACGCTGTGGGCTGTGCCGCTCAACAGGTTAGGCTCTGGTTATATAAGGACAAGAACAGCCATCAGCAGACTATTAATGTCATGCATATTTCCATGACGATTTATGATAGCAAGATTATTCTTTTAATACCTTTAATGTGACCCTGCTAGCTATTGTGTGCTTGGATAACCTGCTGCTGTAACGCCAGAATTTCCCAGTTTGGGATCAATAAAGTAATTCTATTCTATATTTCATAATTTGTCTGTCAAGTTACATTTAATAAATTAAAGCTAAGGATTGCATCTCCTGCAGTTAGATTAGGCATCTTAAAGCAAGATGCTTGCCCTTACAATACGATAACTTATAACCTTGACTTTAACCCTACACAAGACTATTGTTTACAAGGCCAGATCACACAATAACACCACCCATCAGTATGAGGTCACTTCCTGCTGACATGGGAAACATTCAGCTCCTTTGTGTCATGTTTTTAGGTGTATTTTGGAAGCTGTGGATAAGTGGGTAATTTCCTCAGGGCCATTAGGGGGGCTGCTCAAAGGGTAATTATAGAGTGTATTATCTTACCCCTGTCTGCCATCCTTTTAATAAGCTGCTGCTCGCCCCACTTCACAACATACTTGAGAATGTCCTGCTCGCTCGCCTGTGAATGAGACCAGGGCAGAGAGAAACAGATATATAGGTTTGCGCAGAAAGAGAGACATTTATTTTTAGAACAAGGATTTACATTGTCAATGACAAAACTAGGAATGTGTTAAATGAGGCTAAGGGGGAAATGCAATGTGTTGAGGAGGTGTCCTATCAAAGCTCAGGCCTGGTTTGTTTGCGAGGTTGAGATACAAACATCATCTCAACTATCTGCTGCATCGCCCGAGTAGACTGGCGGTGCAGATGACAGCTCATCTTTGATCGAAGGTATGTGCCTCCAGGGAACTGAACCCTGGAGACCCTTCAACCAGGGCGAACAAGTCAGACATGCATTACTTAAACATCATCAGGAAAATGTATTATTTTCACAGAGTGAGTTGTAATTCAGAGTGACAAAAGATTGACAGGTGATTTGCATTTCTGTACCTGTAGATAGTCAGACTGGATTGCGTTGAGGAGGTGCTCCTTGCCGAGCTCGTAGAGAACATTTGAGGTGACAACCTGACTGAACTCCTCACAGAGGAAGTGCATGGCTTGTCTGTGGACCCACTTGGAGCCATACGGCTGGGAGCTCCATTTCAGGATGGGGACGAGTGAGTCCAGAGATAAACTTTCCACAATAATGTCCTCACAACCTGCAAAAATGACATGGACAAACAATTTACACATTAAATTGGGTCACATATATATATATATATATATATATATATCATGTTCCAAAAGCAAGCAGAGATATTGAAGCAACAATACTATAATTAACAAAAACTGAAAGAAATAAAATCGAAAAGAACTACACCGAGTGAACACAAGAGGTAACTCTGCCAGACCATCAGTGGTTTTGACTTGTATTCACTGACCCAGTGAGTCTACCTCACGTAGCCCCCACATCCTCCTTGCTGCATTTCCAAAATCAGAGCACATACCAGAACAGCAGGTAGTGATTTAACTCTGTAAAACAACAACCCACAGAAATGCCTTTGATACCTTGATGTGTTTCCTTCTCAAGCTGCCTCTTCTTGATCGTGATGTGTAAACACAGCAGCCTGAGGAAATGTGTTGCTGGTGCTCAAACAAACACACATTTTCAAAATGTGTACACACTTGTGTGAAAAAATTAAAACAAATATTGAAAAGCCACAGAAAGCTTAAAAAGTATGTATCCTCTAAAGCCATTTTTCAATACGTTCGGAATGTATGAAAAAGATTAGCCCACACTAGCTCTCAAATTTAGATCTATTGAGGCAGAATTAAAGCCTCTAACCACCACTGAGATTACTATTTGATCAACCAGGTTAAGCTTTATATCCCAAACTGCGTGGTAGTTGCTTTTATTTTCAGCCTTGCTATGTTAAATAACAATTAATACAAATTCATCCACATCCATTGTGATAAAGTCAGACTGACCGATGTCCAGTAAGAGCTCTAATCTAAATCACAAGGTTGTCATCTTCCTCATACCAGGACGTCCTGTCCATTAGCTCACACTCCTCTGGGAGATCCTTATCTTAGAACTTGAAAATCTAAGCTTCCTCTCCACCCCTAAACCAACACTTTGAAAGTCTTCTTTGAGACACTGGACACCAGACTTGAGAGGGAAGGCTCCAGTGATACCACAGAGTCTGAAGCTTCATATCCTTCCAAGCACAACTCGCACATTTTCAAGACAATCACATACACACATTTAAGAAATAATGTAAATGCATGTACATACATATGCATATTTGCTCAAATTTATGAATTGTGCACTTTCCCTAAAGGAATCCTAAAAAGCAAGAAGCAGTAATGACTAATAGAAACCCACAGCATTTAAAACTAAAGATGGGAATCCTGCAGCATTAAGAAGACAGCTAAAGTTGAATATTGACCTGGGCACTTTGCCTTTTTTATCTGCAATAAACAGAGTGACAGGGGAATGGATTCTCAACATGTGTGCCTCGGCTTATGCCGCTGGTCCCTGTGCTGTCTGTCTTCTTAGAAAGTGCTTTTGTTCCCGTCAGTCTATCACCTTTGCATCTTTGCCCTCTCTTTAAAAGCATACGCAGAGGCACACATGTGCAACGCCAGACACGTTCCCACTAGGGACCAATGGCACAGGAAAGCAAACAGCTCTGCGTTAGCCCATTAGAATTCACAGCGACAGCCAGGCTTTATTGATGTAGCACTTTTATTGTGAGCTGGAGATTAGGATCAGCTTTTTACTTAATATTAACCCTCCCCTTCTCTCCATGGGAGGTACACTGCATTTACTAGAGCTTAGCCAACTGACAAGAATATCAACACAATAATGGGAGCAGCCAGTGCCAGCTCTACATTAGACTTACTTTTCACAACATTGCATTTGCAAGTGCATTTTGTCCTGCTGTTATTATTTGGATCCCAGTTGTTTATGGAGCACAGTCTCCAAACCCACTTAAAACATCAACTGCACTCAATGGCCTACAAACAAGGCTGTGGATATAAATTATGTCTGATGATCACTCAAGGGCTTCAGTCTACACACTTCAAACACAAAATATGGCACTGAATGCACTGGTCAGTCAGAGAGCATGGAGGTAGAGTAAATACTACAGTGCACATGCTGAAACCACACCAGCTGGTTATCATCTCTGCGGTGTACTTGAAAAATTAATAAGGCTTTTAATATTGGCTGCTGTTTGAGTGAGATGGAGTCATAAAGGGACACATTTTAAGAATTAAGGATTGGGAATGACAGAAAGCTCTAATGCTCCACAAAAACCTCTATCGTCCAAGACTCCACAGACAGAGATGGCAGTCGAAAAGCGCAAGGGGCCGGGGGAGATAGCGTGACAGATGAGGGGGTGATCTCCATATAAAACCTCTAACATAAGCCCCTAAGCTGCCTCCTGAAGAAACATGACAGATTGTTAAGTTTCCAACAGTGGGATGGATTCAAATTTTTTTATTTCATAATCAACTGCTTCTGGTTGGATTTCACACTTTTAAATGTGGAATATTTTGTAATCTAAAACTGAAAAAAAACATCTCCAAAAGAGAAGTAATACAAAGTCAAAAAAATAGACAAAGAGAGGCGACTTGGACGAAATGACATCGGGCCAACCTCAACCATCTCACCACATTCCACAATGAGGTTTCATGGGAACTGATTAGTGCCGTGCAGCACAGTGGGACAGGGAGGAGAGGGGATAAAAATACCCTCGAGTAGGGGCTTGTCGAGAGGGGGGATGGGAAGGAAGAGGAGGTGATGGTGTGCTGGGATGACACTATTTGCCTGCTTGTCAGTTTAAGCTGCCAGAGTGACCCTGTGAGTGACACTAGAGCCGTAAGGTGGGAGGTGGCATCTAATCAGCTGTGTGTGTGGTGATAGTGTAGGATGCTATTCAGATCACTGGACATCTTAAAACTGTGATTGATACTTTGCCAAGTCAATACAGTCATTTAAGCAGTTGGCCAAACTAATCCTGTGGTTTGGAAGGGTTTTCAACACATGCATGGTTACTATTGCAGGGTGCAATATTTCCAAGAATTGTTTTGCTTCCCCTTTGGACACATGTTGATTTCATTTCCATCTCAAACACTCACATCCCCTCCCATTGAACTAAATTTGTACTGATACTGCAGTTTGAATTTCACCACGGCTGAAATATCTACTTGATAAAGAATCTTTGCATTTGTATCAATAGCAAACCAAGTTTTGCAAGTCTGTTTTTCAGTAGAGTATATGGAGAGGCTAAATATGTTTTGTTTCTGTCGTAGCTTCAGAGTAAAAAGCATTTTAGTCACAAAGAATTTAGCAAAGCAAGGCACAAAGAGAGGCGATGTCCCAGGAGGGCTTTAACTGTAACAGTAACTTTCATAGATTAACTGAAGTGTTGTAGTCAAAATAAACTATAATGAATGCATTTGAATATGAATTATTATCTTCACTGTGTTTTTAGTTGGACAAAATAACTACAGGTTTATTTCATTCCTTGGCTGAGGCTGAAAAAAAAGTATGCTTTTAATGCACCAAATATCATCAAATGAATACATAAAAAAAACAATTCCCATCTTCGTGGTCTTACGAAAGACAAGATGGTAATAGGATATGCTAACAATGAGTTTCATTCATCATATCTTAATTCACAGTCAGGGTGATGGGCAGGCCAAATGAGGGACTTGTTTTGTGCATTTGAAATGGTCCGCCTCAAATCCTGCGCATTGCAAAGGTCATTTTATTTGAAGAGGAGTTTTGTTTGGGGGTTTTGGAAGCTGAGGTATGCTGCTCTGGAGGAGGTGAGAGTGACAAAGTGACTGACATGGTCAAACGGTGACTGTCATGTTTGGCATGGTACTAGGGTCACTCTAAAACAGTGGCAAGTCATCAAGACATCTGGGGAAAGATAGGCCAGTAAGTAGATGAGCAGTGATGAGTTGTAAACAGAAGTTCAGATGTGCTGCACATATCAGAAAGGAAGCTGTCTGCCCCTGAAGACACAGACAAGCCCTCCAGCCTTTAACAGTCTGTCACTGGCAGCTGCAGCCCTAACACCATTTACAGTCAGCCAATCCTATTTAGCCTGTTCTTAACAGCCATATTGCATATGGACATGTGCACATTTCAGAAATAATGAAAGGGTGGAATATTAATACATGCATATATTAATGTTTGAGTAACATTATATAAGTGAATGGGGAGAGGAGTTAATGCAGGCCTAGGTCTGCTGAGGCACACGTTAATTAAAAAGTCCAGCCAGTTAAGTCAAAATCAGACTGTGTTATTAAATCCATAAACACTGGCCATATAATCACAAGAGTCCAGACTTACAAATTAACTTTTGAATTCATGGTAAAGGCAATTAAAATGCATAATTATGTTTTGAACTATTTGTCCAAGCTGACAACTTAGAAAACATATCGTTTTAATCAAAACAAAGCCACAATGTTAGGCCTCATATATGTCTGATTTACATCTGCAAATTAAGTTTACCAAGCAGCCATACACAAACAAACAGTATGTCTTTAGTCTGCTTACTGTTACTCTGGGCCAGCTGTGGCTCAGTTGGTAGTCATCGCCTTTCAACTAAAAAGGTTGAGGGTTCGATCCCCAGCTGAGCAACATGTCCGATGTGTCCTTGGGCAAGACACTTAACCCTGCATTGCTCCCGCTGCTTGGTGGTGTATGACTGGATTAGTGTTGTACTTACTCTCTGATGTACGTCGCTTTGGATAAAAGTGTCTGCTAAGTGAATTGTAACATTGTAAACATGCAAGTTTTACCCATTACCTACCTTGAGCAAGCATACTGAACTCCAAGAACAGAGCAATGTGGAACAGCTCCATGGCCTCCTCTGTGCGTGTGCTAGCTCCACGACCCCCAGACACCAGGGCTTGCACCTCGCCGAGACTACCTGCTGAGGGGCTTCCACGCAGCACCAGCCCGAGCTCGACCACATCGGTGTACATGCAGTGGAGGATAACCTGCACATATTTTCGTGGGATGATGGACTCATCTAAGACTATTCGGGTGGGTGTCTGCAATGTTCGCTCGGTCATTTCCTCTCCTGTGCGGATGCGTCTCTGCAAAAGGTTCCGAAAAAAAGGAGAACGTGCTGAGAGGATAGCTTTATGAGCCCTTAGGTCCTCATCTGGTGTCCCTGGGACTCCACTGCCTCCTGAGCCCCCTGTTGGTGCTGCCGCCACAGCGCCACGCTCATTGCAGCTCTCTATCATCTCAGAGTCCGAGGAGAAGCTAAGCAGTGCATCGTAGTAACACATGTAGTCAAACAGGCCCTTCATATCAGCCTCGAGTGAGTTGGGCGTACCAAACTCCTCACTTAGTTGCACCAATACATCCACATTTTGCAGCCTGCTATCCTCCGCTCCGCTCACCCCAAACTCCCCAGTGTACAGGTAGTGAAGTAGGGCAGAGAACATGGGTACATCAATGCCTGCTGTCTCAATGTCCATAAGAACCTCTGCTCCATAACCAGGCGATGAGGAGAGCAGAGTTTTGAAAAAAGGGCAGCGGGCAGCAAGGATGGCCCGGTGAGCTGGGAAGCAGGTACCTTGAAAGATGAGGTCCACATCGGTGCAGTACTTATGCTGATAGAGTGCAGCCAGATTGCGTGCCAAGCTGGGTGCCTCGGCACGTGCCAGGCTGGCTTGGAAGCTCAGCTCCTTAAGGGCTGCTGTGCCCTCGTATTCCTCCACCAGGGCGTTTGTGTCACGGACATCCCACCCTGATAAAAGCTCCCGCATCTGCCGCGCATGATCTGCTGAGCGGCTGGACTTCCTCCTTTTGATGAATCTCCTTTTGAGGGTCGCCAGTCCAAGACTCTTCTTCTTCCTGTCTGCAGGCCGTTCATGGCCGTGCTCCAGGCTGTACAGCTTAGACTCCCAGCCATATCCCTGCTGAGAGTAGGATGACGTCCCTGAAAGAACACCATTACAGGTTAGCGTCACAAGAATGGTATTTGTATTTTAAGTCTTAAAATACACAGGTTATTGAGTAAAAAAACTTTTTTTTTTTTACTGACATATCTCAGAAAAAATATCCATCAAGGTGAGATCCTGGGTTAAAGAAAACGCGCCTGTGCCATTTTGAGAATGTTTTGTATAGAATGGCAAAGAAGAGAATCAGGTTTACGTTCTCGCTTCTTACGGACTGTGTAAAAAGGGGTTATTCCTTTCCTCACCCCAAAACCAGTTCACTCTTAATGACTACTAGAAACACAATCTGTCCCTCGCACCCCTGCGATGTGGCCAGCTCCATCATGCCAAGCACAAACTAACCTGAGCCAGCCACCAAAGCATTTGGATCTAGTTCAACAACAGAAAAAAAACAGACAGAAGCCATTCATTTTGTTTTGATTTTCAACAAACTATGGTTCATCCCAGACTATGAACCAATGTTCTTCCTTGTATTTATCAATGAACTCTAATCCATTCGCATACTTGGGCCTCATCAATTAAAGTAAAAAGCAGTTATCATTGGCTTGAGAGACAGGACTCGCACGTCAGAGGAAGCTGTGCCAAGGAGATCCTCTCTGCCTGCCCTTCTCTCAGCATCCATCACTGTGACCCAAATAGTAATCATTCTAACACTGAATCATCAGCAGCCTGAGCCAAGCAACCAAGCAGAGGGGAGGGGAAACCTCAGCGGTCTCAGAGAATACATGGATAATTTGTCTTCTTTAACAATACTTTCACTAAAATCAGGTCTACAAAAAGCTCAGAGCCAATATCAATTTGGAAATTAAATGAACAGTGATTTTTTACTGAGGAGCGATTTAGTTAATTTAATGTCTGAGCCAGTCCCCTAAACCCTTTGGAAATGAGGGCTGCTTTAAGAAGCATAAACCAAAAGACCTCAATGGTTGATAATTTAGGAGTACCAAAACAAGATATATATAAACATGAAGTGTGACCTCAAATGGTTCTACCCACACAAATTAACATAACCCATATTTTAGACAGATTTGCAATGCATGCAGGCACCAACTAACATGAAGTCAAAGATAATCTTTAAATGTTACAGAAACATGAACTGAAAGTAACACTGCTGAAATAAGAACCAGAAGCAAAAAGGTCCCAATAATAGCATTGAGTAGACAAATGTAACAGTCCAATAAACAGCCTGTAGCAGAAAACAGTGACAAAAATCATGATGCCAGATTAGCTCCCATCTTCTGATAGCCAGCAGCCTTATCCTAAAAACATCATAACACAACAACATGGTAGCAACAAAGCTAAGACATAAACGACTACAATATTTTGTGGAATAAGTGGATTTTAAATTTTCAAAACTCAGTTTTCTCTGCATATCTGCTTCTCATCATACTTTGTATAGTCCATATGGTAGTAAAGAGTAGTGGTACACCTTTTAAATGATTTTTAAGGCCATTGTAGGAGTCAATGTTATAGTTCAATAGCTCTTGCACGAACCCAGTTGTTGGGGAAGCAGGTTAATCTAATATAGTATAAGTTTGAGTATGGCCATGCTAGAGCTACACGGTGGGATTTGTGTCAGGGACACATGTTTGTGTGCCAGTTTGACAGTGCTGTTTTTCACTTTACTTCAGTCAGATGAGAGTGGGAAATCATGACCATCAGCCAACCTCAGACAGAGATGGGCTGTCCTTTGATAATTAAAGATACAAACCATCTAGCAGAGCTGTAACTGAGTTAGCTGTGCAAATGATCGCAAACACCCTTACTCAAACCCAAGACAAAAAAATGCCCACCTATAAAAGTCTGCTGTGCCTGTGCATTTCCCCCTATGCGTGGGGAGCATGAGTGTGGATAGCTGGATCCATTAGCACCCATCCTCACTTCTCTTCACTTGCTATTCGGGGGTCCCCCCTCTTGCTGAGTCATTCTGCTCAGACAACGTATTCTTCTCAATCTTCGTCGTGGGTCAGGTAGAGGATCCACAGAAGCGTCCTCAGAACCTTGGCCCCAGCCTGCTGTGCCTGGAGAAAGGTAGATAAAAGACAGAAGCAGCAGAAAATTAGAGCAATAGATGTTTACCTGTAGGTTGACGCATTAAGTTTATTCAAATATGGCTGACTAATATCTCGCAGGGATTTCAACTTGATGAGCTTGGACTGTTGGACTCAGTCAAAGAAAATAATAATAAATAAAGATAACTGCTTAATAGCGAACAGGCCAACGGAAGCGGCTCATGACTTGAGCTGTGGATGGAAAGTCACTGCCTGCCTTTTCTCCTTAACACCATATGTAAAAGTTCCCATTACACAGAATGGCTAATAACTGGATATAATAAGAAGAGTTAGAAGAGTTGCCCAATAAAGGGGACAAGTCTGTCAGTGAAAAGACTTGTGTGAAGGCTGCTCTTGTGTATCTTTGCTTGTAGCTCCTCAGATTTCCCTCCTCTCTCCTCATGCCTCATTTCAGTTATAAGAGCTTTGGAACAATCCTTATAACAAGACAGGGCAAGAACTATTCCAGTTTGGCCGAGCAGCAAAGAACTATTTTTTAAAAAGAGCTGAGATGCAGGGACGGTTTCATACAGGTTGATTTCTTAACTTTATATTATTATCCCAAACATAACCTGCTAGCAAGCAGGCTAGGTGTTCAGTAGCTATAAGTTACCGTGGTGATCTATCCTGGTAAGAAGTTAACCACCATCATAGTCCTGAAACCCCAGAGTTAACCTTGAAGTTGCCTTGACAATGTAAAGAATTACATTTAGCAGATTATCAGTTATGCCAATGATAAAATAACCTCTGTTAACTCCAAGAGACTGTTTAAAACCTGGAGGTAGTGTCAGTGATGTCACCCATTGGTTTCTGAAGTTGACTTCTGAACCCACAGTTGGTGGTCGCCATATTGTAAATGCTGCCCTTAACTAACTTTTGGTCAACCTAGCAACATGGAGAGAGCTGGAGCTGAGGTGGGCCTTGAGCCTCCTGAAAAACAGCTACAACACGCCTGCCTGCCTGTCAGCTCATCCAAGCTCGTTTTATGAATAACTAATTTCCTTCATAAATTCATAACAGATGATAATAAAATAATCAACTTGTGTACAGTGGGTGCCAAAAAAGAAATTAGCTTTTCAGACAAAATGTGTTTATAGAACTAGGCTGTATTCATTCTCATTTCTGCTGTAAAAATTGTGTTTTTTTGATTGGGTGTGTATGTGACTTCCGAGGCTTTTGCAGCCAGCCTTGAAAGGACACCTGAGGAATTGCAGCTCCAACTTCAGCATATAATTCATTTTTCAACACTGGATATATTGAGTCAGACTTGTTCACAACATGTTGCGTATGAAGTCATTGTTGTTCTTTTTCATATGCAGGTCAGTTCAGGACCTTGAGCAGTACACACAGAGGTCTGATACAGACCACATATGAATAGTAATGTGAACAGCAAAAAAATTATCTGATCTAAGATATTGACAAATATGGCTTGAAGTCTTAAAGTAGCCCAATTGTCTTCTATAGAAAATGACACTTTCTGATAAATGTACTCTTATACATGAATTATCCATGTGTCACTCACTTCATTGTGATGCTGCTTTTACAGGACAAGCAATACGATTATTAGGTAGCTGTTGAGTTAAATGGTTCACACACAAACAAACACAAGTCTACAGCAGCAAATGTTGAGAAGGAGGTTAGTCACTGTAAACAAACATTTTTTCTTTGCTATTCTGGCCAGCCACAGCACCAACAAGGCTCTCAGAAACTTTTTTCTCTCTCCTTTGAACCGTCTAAAAACAAAACTATAAAAAAAATGGGCAATGGGCACCACATAAATTAAGCATACTCTCTATTCATCAGGCCATAAAATACAATGTGAGTATATTTGGCCTCCAGCAAATAGATTCAAGATCCACATTGTTTGATTCTTTTTCAAAATAGAGGGACAATAATTCAATATACAGTATTCCAAGACACTTACATCTTGGGAAAGCTTGCATACATATACCCTTTTCTTTAATAAAGACTTGAATATGAAATTCTTATTACTCAGGACCTTTAAATAACTCATTACAAAAGAAGTAATATGTATTCTCTCCTGTATGAAAGACTGAACGAAAAACTAGATTGTGATGGTTTATTCGCTTTAACTTGGCCTGCAAGTTATTTCTGCCTACCATGCTAATAAATCACAGCGCCTGCCCCTGTAGAGCCGAACTCCCCAGCCTCCCAGGGGTTCAATGGAAAACCACAGCCTCTTACTCCACTCCATACACACAAATACTTACCAAGCAGTCACAGTGGAGCACTCCACTAAAAATGTTGGCTGATCTTTATTTCATTAGACTGCTTTAAATAAGCCCCATCTTCATAGGGAATTCATTTGGACAAAATTAGAAATTGAATTTGAATATGTAGGAGTGAGGAGGAAGCCCTTGAGATGTATACTGTGTTGTTTACAAAAGAAGGTGTAGGGGGGTGAGAGAGAGAGAGGGGGAGACCTCAAAGGAGCCGAGCAGAGGCAGAATAAAACAAAGCAGGCAACACATCAGTCGAACAGCACCAACTTCCAACTCGGCAGGCAGACTCGCAGCTTTAACTCATTCAAATGAGTGAACCAAATTTAACTTGAGCTGCAGTGCAGAATTCTAAAAGCATAATTTAGGACAGCTATTTCCCTGAGACCTGACTCACACCGTTCAATAAGCGGTATCTCCACCATAATCTCTCTTATGGTGGAAATTAAGACACTTTTCCGCAGTTTAGACTGAAACAGTGAGCTGCTCTGTTGTGCTCAGGCTTGGATCAGAGGGGCAGTGCCACAGACAAGAGGAGAAGGGGGGCCAACGCCGGCCGAGCTGGACTGCATGTCCCTAATGAAAGGTGACAGGAGACACTCCCTGCCCCCCTCCTCTCTCTGCAAACAAACACACACGCATGCAGACATATGCAACCTTTCAAACTGCTCACCTTGCCTCCGTTATTAGGCTCATTTTCTTGTATTGAATAAAATCTATTCCAAACAGCCCCTTGCTGAGGTTTATTAAAACAAAACTACAGCCTCCCCCAGAACATTACCATACAAAAATGCTTGGTGCAAGAGCGGGACCGATGTATTATTCAAATGACAGTCAAGGCACTTTATCAATCATTGATGTGGATTTCCTCATCAGGGCTAGAGAAAAAAAGGAAGCCAGTAGGTATTTGGATTTCCTTTGCTGTTAACAACCCCACATTTCAGCAGCATGTTCTTATCAAATCGATGCAGGTTTTTACAGGTCATCCCACTTAAAACAAAGCTCTGCTAATGAAACGCACTCACAGCAAACACTCTGAATCAAAGTGACAGCGGTAATGAAGCTTCATCAGCGTGACAAGACTTCTACTATCAAAAGTGATGGGAAGAATTTCATGGGTAGTGTAGCAGATGATTGAGAAATGTTTATTTCTTGCCTCTGTTCAAGAGTTTGTATACAAAAACATACATTGCTTGGCCATGATGGCACAAAAGAACCAAGGTGCAACATTCTCCATTGGTCTTTTTTTTTCTTCTTTTTTTTAATCTTGTGATTTAAATGATGAAATCACCACCTTTTGATAATTACCTTTGTAAGGCTAATTGACATGGCCCCTAATCTTCTGAAGAAGAGTAATCAGTGAGTCAGTCCTGAATGACAGGTCAGCAACTTCCAAACACCTTTTGTCTTAAATTAGTCCAGTCAAAGTTTATTTGAGCTAACTATCAAAAGGTATGTAAAAAAAATAATTGATGTACAGCTGTACTGATTTGTATGTATAAATCAGGCTAACAACATAAAAAGCAATGTCAAAATCTAATCAAAAAGTGAAGTGAATAAACTTAAAAATAAATTTTCAAGGACAACAGTCTTAAATCCGTCACTCTTCAAAATTACTGGCAATTTTTGTAAGTCCATTGCTTGCATGCTATTATCTTAAATACCTTAGCGTATCTTAGATGTATCAGAATATCTCCAGAAAAGGCACAGAGAATGTTTTTTTTCAGTATAAAAAGAAATAAAGACAGATTCAGGCCTGGTCCATTAAAGTCAAATATATATGTATCCAAATCATGTCAACTCAGTCTCTATTATAAAAAAAAAAAATTAAGTTAAGGGTAAAAAGTATAACTTGAAAGTATCGCTATAATAAAGGCTTGTAAACAACCTAAGGGCAAAGCTGGCCATAACGTGCTGTGCAATCCAAGCTGGACAAAAATACTGAGTCAGACTATAATTATAGACTGTTTGACTCTTGGATATCTGATACAATCAGAGATGCACTAAAAGGGTCATAACACTTAATGCAAGGGTGAGCAGAAACCAGAACTTTCTAACAGAGTGATCTCAATAACACTGATATATCTGCACAAATCCCATAGAAATGAAGCAAAAGTGGAATATGGACTGCAGGCGATGAGAAAAAACAGAAGATATGACTCCCTTCCTCCTATCAAATAAAAAATGTCATATCTTCACTAAAATGATAGCTGAAGAGACAGAATTCAGAGGCAGAGCAGAGTGCTTACCTCTGCAGTGTTTTGCCAGCCAGGTCAATCAGTGTAACAGTTAATCAGGCCATTGGACTGATTACAGACTCTGCCAGGAGAGCTACAGGAAGCTACAGGAACCAGAACGGGCTGGAAACGACAACACACTAAAATGACAGAGACATACAGAGGAAACAATAGTCCCCACATTGATGACTCATGGTGGGCAGCCTCTGGATTAGCCATGTGTCGACCAACAATAAGAACCATAGTGCTGCATATTTGGCATTTCATGGACTATGTTCTCAGCCGATGGTCATGTTATGCTCTAGAGTTTAAGATAAATATGGTGCATTTTGCACATAATATTTAATCTGCATCACATTATTTTCTTCCTTTCAGACCTTTGTATGACATCATGAGAATGCCTTGTGCAAAGAATGAACGGATTAATGACAAAGCAGCCCTATACCAGCATGCAATACAACACTGAACAGGGACCATCTTTTCAATAAAGAAATGTTAAGTGTGCACACACTGGTGACTACACAAACACAGCCTGCCAGTCCATCTCCAGAGAATGAATGGCAGCCCAGAAAACTGTGCTTATTTTAAGTGAGTTGTCAATGCTCCTTGTTGAGTTATCCTAGCGGCCAGGGTAAACAGAAGTCAGGCCGAAGTCCAGCTCATTCAGGGATTCTGTGACAAGTACTTGCAAGCTTATGGCGGTCATGGACGGCTAGCCATGTATCTCAAATAATTACATGTTATTATACAGACCTGAAGCATTGACAAAAAAAAAAACACAGCACAACAAAGCTTTAAGAATGATAAACCTTAAGCCCAAGAGTGCAATAAATACACCTCTTCCTAATGAAAAGACAGAGAAGCCAAAAGCCCAAATCTAAGCAGAATTTCAGTTAGATTACCACAAGGTTATCACAGCATATGGCTCCTCGGCACTACAAAAGGATGACAAACTTCACAGACATTAGTGAAGAACCTCCAAGAGATAGAAAAACAAATAAATATCCTTTAGGGTTGGTTTCTAAACAGTAACGTAGACTTTAAAAAGGAAGATGACAACTCAAAATTGAAGAAACAATATCTGCAATATCAGCAGTTATATCAACATGTTTGTATAGCCTATCCTTTGACAAGTGGAAATTATTATATGACTTTGATAACCAATAAACCCATATCAACAAGTAGGTTACAGATTGCAATGGGTTACAGGCCAAATTGTTGCCATAGCCCAACCTCTCAACAACTATCTGACACAGTGGCAATAAACAGCAACATGTAGGTTGATCTTCAAAGTGGGGATGCACATTCAGCCTAAACTTTTTCTTCTGATCTTGTCTTACAAAAACGACATCCGTGTTCCCCTCTGTACCCTCTGTGCATAAGGTAATAAATAATTTGCAGTGGCTTTGTTAGCCCTGCGTTAACGCGGAGCTATTGTTGCTCTTTGGGGTACTGGAGGGCTATCGCTGCTCAGCGGAAAAGCCCTGGTTAAAAGTGCATGCAAGAGAAATAACCAAGTGGGTTGTTTGTCTGTGCTGATAAAAATGGGAAGTAGATTCCCAATATTACACGAGTGCCTAGCAAGAGGAGTCATATTCAGCACAGCCCTGTAATTAGTAGCATATACAAAAAAGGGCTAGGGTAAGCTACCTCTGCTGTGTCGCTTTGACTTTACCCCCCCCTCGGAAACATCAATTTACTTCGACATGGATTTGAAGCAACTGTTGAAAGCGAGCGTTCAGAAATATTTACCAGAACACGGAGAGCTTCGTCTGCATTATTTTTTTTCCTCGTATCACATCGTGGTTAAGACAGTACTCCCGACCCAAGTTGTCCCCTGTGCTGAGAGAGAGAAAAAAATGCAGCTCAACACCTTCTTTTTCCAACTCTGCTCATTACGCACGGCTCGACGTCAACGTACACATTTAAACCCCGATATGCAATTACTTCCACTTGCATCGACTTTCCGGTGATTTTCAAGCGTTAACCTCAACTAATAACTAAACTATAGCCGTTTTATCCTCGGTTCGGTTCGGTATTTCCCCATAGTACCACAACGCCTTGTTGGGTGGTTGATATGGCCTATCCCAACGTAACCCGTTTCAAAGCTTCCAAAATAAGTAGTGGCACTTCCGGTTCAACCTTTCAAATTAAAGCACTGGACTAGTACGACGTTGTATTTGTATCGGGAAATTGTGCCATATAAACGCCCTTCAGACCCATTTTCTAAAGGCTATTCAATGTTGAAGACTAATTTCATGCAAACTTTTGGAAAAACATCTACTAACCGATGTTATTAGGCAAGGTGAGCATCCGCTTCTCCATTATCGCGCTTTAACTTAGGAGCAAAATCCATTTGGTTCCTGTGTTTTGGTTGACTTGACAGGTTCTGAATACTGTAAGCCGACTGGTTAAGAGGCCCGTCAGTAGCCGAGTCCAAAAAAGCTTGTGCAACTACAGATTTTCCGGCGCCCTCTATTGGTTTCTTTGTGGAAGTTGGTATCATATTGTCGTACCTTTTTCCTCTATAATAAGATTTTTTTTTCAAATGATACAAATCTGGTCGGAACATTTATTGATCACGCCAACCATAACCTTTTTGGCAGCCTAAAGGTTTATTGAAAATATATTAGAGCATAGGTTGATATAGCGGTAATCCCTCCACCCCATACACACAAAAAAATGTTTTTTTTATTACTTTCTTTTTTTATATATTTGATAATTTATGTCTACGTGAATTTGCCTTAATCTAGGCTTTAGTATCGGCCATGGCTTTAGGCCATGGAAAATAATATTACAATTTAAAGGCATCTGGGGAAACTCAAGCTGCAGGCCCTACCATTATTTTGAAATGTATTTTATTAGTAAGGCTTCCCCTGATTGAAGTTCATTCAGCCTCCTGTTGAGGGCGACACAATACAGCTAATGTAAGACAAAGCATGTTTAGTACATAATGTAGTCAGGCTTTTTTTAAATTCATCATCTATGGACTCCAAGGTCATTGTTTTGCAATGAAAGAAGCTCCCGAAATTTTGAACGACAATTAGGCTTTTCATTAATAAAATACAAATGAAATGACACTGAATAATAGTAGGAAAAATCAACACAGTTTTACTCCAATGACAGCAGAGAAAAGCCACATAGGTCTGCTCTTATCTTAATATTAAAGTGCGTAGTTTTAGTATTATTCAGGCAGCCAACACTCTAATCAGTCAGAGTATGAGTGAGTTATCTTGAGTCCTGAGGTTTTGTTTTTAGCTTTGAAAAACATGTATCTCTGCTGGGAGTTGGGTTAATTGTAACAACCTTTAAAAACAAAATTGAAGTTTTGCAAGGTTGTTTATTTTTTTTAAACATAAATCAAATCTAAACATTTTCGTTTATATGCTGTTTATTATAATGTAAGATTTGTCTTAGAATAAATTACAAAAATACTGATAATAAGCTTGTGAATTCAAGGACTAATTTTCTATATTGTTTAGAGAATCATTTGTGCGATCTTGTCTTCTTGTTTCCTCAGGAAATGAGCGCACTGTCAGTTAGACAGTAGCTGAAAGTTGTAACTTTAGAATAAATACTCAAAAGTTTCCATTAATTGTCAGAGAGAACCCCTGCTCTTTTTTTTTTATTGGGCTGCATTATTCAAAATGAAGTACATTTGCATTATTGAAATTACTTCAGAGAGTTCTTATAATGTATGACCAGGCCAGATTTCTTGTCCGGATGGGAACTTGGTCAGTATGTTTACATAAGTGTATTTGGCCTGTGGAAGTGACTCCTCCCAGGAGCAGTGCTGGGAATTTGATGAAAGTAGTGACTAACTGTATCTCACAGCACAAGGAGAGCATCTCTACAGAAACATTTCCATGACAAGAGTGACTGTTTGAGAAGAAAGATGTTCTCTGTCTTAAAGAGACCAACACTGACCCGGGCAGGGCTGATGGAAGCCGTTCAACAAGGTCAAAGATCAACCATCTACAGCAAGCCAGCAAAGGAAAAGATCGGTCCTGTGGTAGGAGTAAACAACTTTGTTAATATTTGTATCTGACAATAGGGATGTGGTTTTAGAAGAGAAGGTAGTTGTAAGGTTGTAAATGTGTTGTTTAACATGTGCTAAAAAACAAATAATCAAACTTTAAAGACTATTTTGACCCACAAATATTAAAAACAGGACAGCAAAGTCAGTCCAGGGAGGTTTGCATCTAGACCCTTCACTGGAGTGTCTCTAACGCGAGGAACTCAAGCGGACTGTGCTCCCCAGCCAGACGAGTGGGAGACATGTTTTATTTATTTCTTATCCTTAAGTTAGTGTGAAGCTCTGGCCTCTGTAAAGAGATCCCATGATGGAACTGCAACGTAGTGGCCAGTGTTTATGCCACTGTGAATCTCTGGATCTGTCCTCAGGGATCTGTCAGAGGCTTTTTTTTCCCCCCCGAAGCCTTGCTCTGGTTAGAAATACCAAAGTGCAAAGGGACAGCGGGATATGGTGGTTGATATAGACTGGGGCTGTCTCTGTTTAACTAGATGAGTTATTGAGATTAGGACCTTTTATTGTGGACGCAGGTGTTTGATCCTTTCCACCCAACCTGCAGCTGATGTCAGGAAAGGCACTGGAGCTATAAAACAGAGCATTTATATCATCCCTTCTTGTTCTACACTGTTCCAAAGAATGCAATGTCTAATCCTTATGCATTAATTCTTCTTGACTTTCTTGCAGCAGTCTCTCTTTACCTTGTGTGTGTTTGCTGTGACCCTCTTGGCCCCCGCTGGATGGATCATGCATCACATCCCACAATACCGGCGGAGTTTACCTCCACAACCCTGACCCCTGACTTCTGCTAGGAAACCATGCAGTGTAATTGTGTTAAGAACCCCTTCAATGTGTACAATGTGTAAAATTCCTTTATAAAAGGAATGAAATCTTGAGGTATAAATTGTTGATTATAAAATAAACTTTGAGAAGACATGTGCAGAGTAATGCTTTATTTCAAACCGTTGGAAGCATACAGAACAAGCTGATTTGTTGCTTGATGTGATGACTGAAATCATTGGAAAAAGGTTGTTGATTTTTTTACCCTTGCATTTTGAATTGATAGTAAAAAAAAAAGAAAAAAAAGAAGAAGGGGCCACATATTGTGCTGACTGTTGTTAGAGGACTTGGTCTTGACTTGGTCCCAATCAAATGGATATAACTTAAGAGCTTTTGGCACATACAAACTATATCTGACAAGGTCTGGCAGTTGGGCAGTGCTCTGTATCTTATCTGTTTATCTTACAGTTGCATTTTGGCTCTACGAAAAAGATTCAGAACTTCTTTTTTTTTTTAAAGACGTACTTATCTGGCATAAATATTGAAATAAGTTAAGTAATATATTACTAAAATCTAATAAAAATACAGTTTAATGCCTTCGGGTGAAAGTGGGGTTAAAATAGCACATAAACCTGTTGCATATGTTCAGCCTTTATAGGCACAGATAACACGATACGGGTAGTAATATCTTAACCAACACACTAGGTCTTTCCCTCCTATAATCAGCTCCCAAGACCACTGACGGGGTTGTTGGATTTCTTGAATGACAATTTGTCAAAGCCGGATGAGTCCATTTGGAAAGGTATGCTGTGGCAGATGTTTCTCAAAATTCCTCTCCGCATGGGAAGAATAACACTCTTCAAATCAAGGACTACCTCGCGAAATGTTTCTTGGTTTTAATTCCGCTGAAAGCCCACTCAAAAACGACCGCAGCACCGCAATCCCCCCCCCCCAAAAAAAGCCACGGCGCATAAATCCATCGCGCAGAGTGGTACAATCAAGCCGCCGAGCCTTGCACGAGCTGCGAAGGGGGTATGTTCACTTTTTCGCCACTGAGGGAAACACACAACGCAGGGGAGGGGAACAAAAAAAAAACACTAAAACAATTGACAGTCTTGGTTTTATGTTTTCCCAAGTGTCAACGAGATGTCTACGAAGGCAGAGCAGTGTAAGTACGGCTGTGTGAGAGTGTGTTTTTTTTATATTTGGTCTTGTCATGAGGGGGCTTTTGTAAACTGGGAAATCGGATTTTTTTTTTTTTTTTTTTGGTTAAAAGCATAAAGCGAATGGGGGAGCTGTCCTTGGTGATGAAACCGCGGTTGCCATGGCAGGTTGCAACACGTCCTCTCACTGCAGAGGATGGCTGGAGGGCTCAGTGCTCTCGGCAAGCCTCTGTTTATGTCTCTGTATCACTCGGCATGTTAAGGGTGAACAAATTCATGGCTAAAACGCACAGTCGCCACGGTCGCTTGTTGTTATGATTATTTTTGATTGACGTGGCTGGGATGAGGTGCGTGAGGAAGGCGAGGTGTGCTGCTGGTCTCAAGGTCGACCTGACAGATTCTTCACTGAACAATATGGTGGATTTAGATTGATCAATTATGTAGATTGATCTGACCGAAAGCGGCTCTGTTCATTTCCTTCTCTTGCGTCCGGTTTGCGTTTGAACAGGTGGAAGGAAGCCAGGCTATCCTTAAATGTTGTAAATAATGTCTGTACACTTTATTTTAGATATTGCTCAATAATAATAAAAAATAGGGGCAAACTTGTTTTTTTGGGGGGGGCTTTCTTCTAAATTGGCATACACTGTAGTTGTGTGTTGCTAATGAGAGTAGTAGGCCTATCGGGTTTGGCCATTTGCTCAAATGCAGTAGGCTATTGGATATCGATGAGCAGGCCTATGCCAATCAATGCACCAATAGGATAAGACCCTTAAAACATATTAACTAGTTTTGCTTACGTTATCATGTGACAATAACAAACACACACAGGGGCTGCTAGCAAAAAGTGCAATAATAGTCAAAGTAATATTTTTCTTTTGTTTTAAAACTCCAGTTGATGCACAATTTGTATACCACACCTACATTATAATTTGCTGCAAAAAAGTCAATTCTAAGTTAGAGACTGTAAGGCATCAAAATATTCAAAAAAGGAATCTTTTCTATTTTAGAAGAGAGAAGCCATGTGAATAAGTGTAGCACAGGCTGTGACCACACATGCCCCAAACCCTGCAGCTGTGATTTTTATTTTGGGGTTTGTCATTTACAGGTCAGAGAGGAAGCTAAACACAACAGCCCAAAGTCACAGAAAATGGGTCAGCGATCATCCACTCCGCCCTATTATTACTCTTAAGATCATCAGGAAAATATAACTGTACATTCATACCTAAAACAATGACCTGTGGGGCTAGTTAGTCAGAGTCACCAGCAAGCGGGGGTCTGTACCGTCTGTGAGTAAGTCCTCTCTCATGGTCACCCCTGACCGCATTTTCCAGGGCTTGTCTTGGGACTTGAACCGGCAACCTTTTGTGCATGCGCTTGTTTCTGTAAGCAATAGTTCACCACTTCCTCTAGGGCTTCCTGTGACCCTGTTGATGTACTAAAAAAGGTCACCTGGTGTAGGCCAAGAGGGCCATGGGAACACACACTCTCGTTTGTTTGACATGATAATTGGAGATTCTGAGCTACAAGCTGTCCCTATATTAGCCAAGATGCAACTACAGCTGCATGCATGTTCAACCAATAGCCTTTACTTTGTGCTCAGGACTGTATTCTGCACTGGTCTTGATTTGCTTGTTACTCTTCTCTTTATTTTGTCCAGTTGCCTCTAAGATACGATACTTGCAAGAGTATCACAACCGTGTGCAACACAATATTTACCCTGTGCCCTCCGGAACAGACATTGCAAACACACTGAAATACTTTTCCCAAACCCTGCTCAGGTAAGTACCCTGCTCTGGAGCCAACAGGTGAAGTAACAGACTGTAGAATGTTTCATATTTAGCTTCCTTCGTGATCAGGGACTTCGATTAGTCTTACACATTCTCTTAAGCGTCACAAAAGGAAGTCAGAAAAGTGCCCGTCTCTGTCAAAAGAAGACAGTCGCAGATTTACCGTGAAGGTGTGTTGCTGTTTCAAAGCAGCAGTGATAGACGGCTCAGTGTTGTTCATCAAGTCAGTGGTCGCCTGCTAGATGAACGCTCCCAGGGGCGGTGTATTTTGTCCTTCCCACAGGGGCCCAGCGGAGAAGTCAGCTCCTTCAGCTCTACAATTGTAGGGTCAGCCTGCTCCCATGGGTGCTGTGAGTGCCTAAGGAAGGAACAGCATGTTTAGTCCTCCTCTGACACAGGTCAAGTAGGCAGCCATTTTGGACACATCTTACTTCATCATGGGTCACTTCTCCTTTCTCCCCCCCTAGCTGGAGCTTCAACATGCACTGTATCTATTGGAGGTTTTGTTTATTCTTACTGCTTGAGGCTTCAGATAAATTATTATCGCTGTCATAACTTGTTGGCTAATTTACAAAACGGGTGGGATTACCAGAAGCAGAACTTGTATGCCCCACTTTTATCATTATTATCAGCTTAGGGTGCAATCTATTTGAGATTGGCAGCTGGCCTCAATTCTACACTTTATGCCTCGGCCCCATAAGGATTATTCCTTTTGCTGAGTGATGCTCTCAGAGTATCCAGATGACTTTATGCTTTGCTGAAGGGCTGTCCAGCACAAGCAGCCACTCTGGTCTCCTAAACATGGCCTCTGATATGTCTTTGGCACAGGTGGAGTACAGTATAACTGTTGGAATGTGTTAACTTAAGATTTTTTTGATGCATCATTTCTTGATTTTCTACGAGCATGGCCTCTTAGCTCAGATATGCAGTTCAACTGGTTCTACCTCAACCATTAGATGAGTCTGGTTTCCTCAGCAGGGACTCCAGGATAATCACCTTCAAAAATCTGAAGTGAGGCAGAGGAAAGTGAAACAGGAAAAGAGACAAAGTAAGAACAAGTGAAAGAGAAGCCTTGTGCTGTTTTCCTTGAAAGACACCCTGAAAAGGAGGTGGTCGCTGATTCATACTCCAATGTTAGGTTCAGGTCAGCTTCAGAGCAGAAAATAAAAAGAGGGTTATTTTTTTCTTTTCTGACTTACTATTGTCTTCTTAAAGACAGCTTTGTCATATTTCTCAAAGTCGGACTCTCTGTGCTTCAGTAAGACGTGATGACTAACTGTATTCAGAAACAAGTTTAGGTGCAGATATCATATCTTGTACTGTTAAGACATAATTTCAGACGTCAAACAGCGTTACTTCTACCTCTCATACCTGTAATTCTGTAAATGTAAGTTTGCGATGAATAGCTGTTACACACGGAGTTCATTATTATGTAATACAGAAAGTGCAGGGTTTGACAGTCAATGTATGTCATGTGTCTGTATCAGTGCATTTCTACATGTGTTTTATGTGTCGTAAATGTTTGTAATTTTCCGTGTCGTGTGTACGGATGTAAATTATGCACACGTGTGTGTCCTTGTGTGTATATGTTCAGCGTATGCGTGAGTGTGTCTGTTTATGTCTATGTCCATTGTTCAAATAATAATGATGTTTTCTTTATGAGAAATGGGCAGTGAAAAAGTCCTACTCTGAGATACAGTCTGTTGTCTGGAATAAGTCCTACTTGAGTTTATTCTTGGTAAAATCATAGTTATATGAATGAAATTACACTGGCTGTCAGATCTTACAGAGTATGACTTTGAGGGGATAAGTCAGAAAATGTGACATTCTTCTGTTTACAGTATAAACTGTTAAGCTAAAGGCTAAAAATGCTGCATAATCTACTGTTATTTTAAAGACTTTTTAAATGAAATCCCCTTTCTCACTTGCCAAAAATGCTGTAACTCTACTTTTTGAGTGACCTTTAAAATCAAAGTACAAAAAAAAAAAAAAAAAACAATACATCAGCATTTATAATCTGGGCTCTGATGATAAATCCCAACCATTTGCCTGATAGAACAGCTTAGCTCTTTAGTAATGTGCAGTAAAAAGAGCAATGCTCTCTGGCCCCCCCTCCCCTCTCCTCTACCCTAGATGCTCCGCACTCAACCCCAACTAATTTCTCCTTTTGTTTTTTTCCTCTCTTAAAATTGAATATGTCCACCAC